TATGATATAATATAATATAATATAATATAATATAATATAATATAATATAATACATATGAATGTATAAAAAGATGTTTTAACCGATTGTGATTAGAATTCCGTTTGCACACGAGAAAAAGGTTTTCTCTAATTTAAAGTGTTAATAGATCGATTTAAGACAAAGATATAACAATGCAAAGCAGACAAAATTAAATTTTCAAAATATGAATACTGTCAAGGTTACACGATGCTATGGATTAATTGAATTTGGGGAAGTTCGTGCAATTTACATTCGTGTCTGAATGAAAGTCCGAAAGGAACTTAGAACTTCTTTAGTCACAGAAAATAAGCCGGCAGTTAGATGACATCATGATTCGACCCAGTTTAAAATATTTCAATACACCACGAATACCCACTAATTAAGACGTCTTAAGCAGACTTTAATCATCGGACAATCTTCAAAACATTCTTCAAAAGTTCTTTCAAACTTTGCTAAACGTCTACGAGTGTCAGATACCAACGGATAAACAACCCGAAGGCATTTATTATATCTGCGCACGGTATCTTGCTTAAAAGAATTCTTGAAACTCAGCAATTTTTCCCAGTCGGAGCCCGATTTACACGAGGCTGTTCGATAATAAATTAACTTTTCCCTTCGTCGACAATTCTTATCGCCCCAGCCACCGATTTGACACTCAGTTTCTCTTATTTAATCCGTAATTCACAGCCTCTGATATTTCACAAGTTTGAATAAATATTCTCTATTGAAAAATAATATGAATTAAATATGAGAAATTTACATTTGATTACATTACATTATTCTAAGAATTTATTTCCTTGACAAATGAAGAAATTGTCGGTTCGATTAGAATAATACAGAATTTATGCTAGATAGATTGGGATTTATTGGGAATTTTTTTTGAAGTGCAAAAAATTATTCAGAATGCACAGAATATAAAAATAAAGCAAATCAGAATGCGTAACGCTTTTCTATAAAAATATGAATTTGTATAAAAATCCGCAGTCGGATAATAACTTTAACAGAGGAGCAACTTTAGAACTCTAAAACTCTAAAACTCGCGTTACCAAGTTCTGCCATTTAATTTTGAGACTGATCATTTTTTTATCATTTTCTCACAATAATTAAATATTGCTTGCCTCAATAGAGATTTATAAAATTATAAAAACTTTATCGTGATCAACAATTGACTTGCAACTACTTTAAATGAACGAATCACGACATCCAACAATTTTCACAAATTCTTTCTATTAATTTTTTATTTAAACATAGTCTCTCAGATTGAACAAGAAACGATATTCCTTTGTGATAAATCCTCCAAAAAGTGAATTTCAAAACGAGACTTCTGATATTTATTTCGCAATTTCAATTGCGACATCGATTTATCACGACGCAAGGCGTAAAATTGGCATATGAAATTTTGTTTTTGACAAACTCTGCTAGATATCGCAAAATAATAAAATCCAATTGCGACGTACACCGATTGATATATTACAAACAAAAACAAAGGAAAAATTGAAATAAAATATTACAACATTGGGTAATCAGCTGTGTTGGAATGAAACAGCATGTCGCGATTGAAGCAAAGCGTTAATTTCGTCCATATAATATTAATACGCAATATATTGTTATAATAAATAATCGACATCCTTTTTCATGAAATGCAAGCAGATTGTTTTCATTTGTACTTCACTGCGATATTACATAGAGAAACAGAAAGATACTGCCATATTATATATAATTAAAATGTTCCTAATGACCTATAATAATATTATAATAACATATTGCAATCTTACATATTATATATTATTGTATATTATTACAATGCTCAAGGATAAATCTTGTGACACGAACCATTAATTTGAGAAGAGAAATTTTTATTTTAAAAATAAGAGTCCCCTAATAATAATTTAATCTTTTTAAAGATAGAAAATTGCATTTGTTTTACGCAATAATGTTTAACAACATTAAATCTGAAGCGACACAACATGCAACAGTAATTTACAACAGTTGTTTCGAGTTTCCAATTACTGACGTGATAACAGTAAGCTTATTCCCCAAGTCAACACCTCTTATTTATATAATTAATTCCCGTCTACATTTCTGTTGTGCATGGACAGTGCACAGAAGCCAGTGTACGTATGAAACATAATATTACAAAATTGCTAAATTTACTGAATTTAATTCGCAAGATTACGAGAAACAAATATGTACAAGAACGATGCAGTTCTATCTTATGTGAGACAATTACTCTTGCATTTTCAAGCACAGATATGCTCTTGAAGGATCTATTTACGATTCTTAAAAGATCGTTCTTAAAGGGTCTATTATCGATATTTTTAATTGATGATCAATGAGGCACGATCTACTTTATTAATTCGATTTCATCTACAATAGCAACACACAGAAAATGTCCTATTTGTAGCATATAATTCTCTTTAACAAATTAATAAAATCTGTAATTCTCAATTATATCGCAATTTTTAAGTTGGATTATTGGATTATTGTTACTGTTGATTTATAAATCCAGAAGAAATTCGTTCCACATTGCTTTATCTAGTATAGATGACATAATTTGAAGGTGATTAGGAATCAAGATGAAATGTAGAAACTTGAAATATGTTACGAAGGGAACAGAAGACATAGAACGAATTCAGTAAATTAATTTTTAAAGGAAAAGATAAATAGAAAATTTCAGAGAAATGAGAACGTAAACGGCACATTTTGAAAAATATTATAAAAATGTCGTATTTTTATTGAAGTTCTACAGAAGCCTCCAAACTGTTACAAAAGTTGAAGAAAAAAACAGAATATTTTCTTAACCTTAATTCTCTTGTAATCGCATTGTAATTAAATACGATAAAATTATAATCTTTTGAAAATATTCTTTTGTTTTTGTTATTCAGATATAGTGCACTGCATCATTCTACAACCCACTACATCATTTTAAATGAAAATTTTACTATGGAGAAAGACGAGTAAACAGAATTAATTTGCATGTAAAGTTCAATTATTTTTATTTCATTTTTACAATATATAAGATATATAAGGAAACTAGGTAGAGTTTAATTCATCGCGTCGGAATTTTTCGTGAAAAAAAAAAAATAGTAAAGCAGTCCTAGAATAATAGTCCTTTTATAGCCCTTCCACGAGAAATAGTTGCCTCAAAAAAAATTAACAATTTCTTTGTAGTACACATTCTTGTTGATCATTTCTAAGATAATTTGGTGCACATTCGCAGCCTGCAACGCATTGCTGAAATATAAACGTTTTAACATTTAACTCGCTGTCGTTTTCAAGACAAGTAATCCGTTATTAGATTAAAAATTGTTATGCCGTACTAGAATACATTATGTTATGTTGCACGAGATGTTTTCTTTCAACAATTCTTCGATACAATTTCACTTTCACATCAGTTTACATCAACAACATTTACAACAGTTTTAATAGAATTTAAACGCTAACCAGAGTGCAAACCTCGGGAACAGGATTCTGGCAACTAGGTGGACAAGCAGTACCGCAATCATTCCACACTTCGTTAGGTGGACAATCCGCCAAAGTTACTGTTTTTAAATGTCAAATGTTAGAAAAATTTTTGCAACTTTTTAAACATATGAATTATTTGAAACTACTTTAAATTAGTATATTTAATTAAATCAATCATTGAATCTTGAAATTTACTTCTGGAAGAAACACACGAGTATTTGTACGATGTTCAAAAGTTGTGCAAAATTAGACGAAATTGGAAAAGTATTCTAAAGACAAACGTCAGTAAATTAAAGAAAAAATTGTTACAAGTAGAACTTTCAAACTTCGAGTGTTATTTAAACGAGACAATATTTAACTAATTCAAAATTAATAACTAATCCGAAAATTAAATGATACACTACAAACAAGAGGATATATACTATAAATTATTGAAGCAAAAGCGAATCATTCGTTTAAAACGAAAGATTTGTATGTGCCTAATATTCGTTTCTACTTTTTATTTTTACCAAAAATAAATATTCAATAGTAACAATTTTCTTTTTTTTCGAAATGTGAGAACAAAATATCTTATGTGTGCGTATGTTCGATAATAATTATTTAAATATAATATAGTTACTTACAGACAGAAAAGATTGCCAAAATGGCAAACGCAACGAGGAGAGAACGAGACATGTTAGTACGTTATGTGTATGTTACGTTATTTGTAAGATGATGTCTTTGAATCCAATGAAAATTAGATCACGAAATCTGCTTTTATATGGCCTAAATTTTCCTGTTCTTTATTGTATGCATCTGATTTATGCTATGATAACAAACTGAATAACAGACTAAAAACAGATTACTTGCATCTTATCAGCAATACATCATTTCACTGTACTAACATTCCATCACGTTGATTTATTTACCATTTAATTAAATTACATTGTAGTAATTTGCTTATTTAACATGTAATTTACTAAACAAATGAATTTGTTCCTTTCCCTGACTCCCCTGATTTTTGTTTAACAGACTTTCTGCAGTAGTTTAATAGTTTTTAACTGTAATAGTTAAATAATCTGGTTGCATATTCCTACAATTGACTATAATTAATAAATATAACATTGTAATTTTTAAATGGAATTTCGTGTTTTATTAGTTTTATAATTAGTTGATTTAAATTGCAATTCGATGAGAAAAGTTATTTTGTAAAAAGAGAAACTTGAAGCTGTTTGAAAGCTGTTTTTGCAAACAGAAGAGACAAAATACGAAACAAAAGATATAAATGATAATATCAATATTGAAGAAATTATAATTAACGTCATAACATAATATAAATAATGCAACAAATAGATTAAGAAATAAAAATATTACCTACAGTTTAATTGTTCTTCTTGTATTTTACTAAGTCAAAAATATCTCAGAATATATACAAAATTTTCCACATTTTTCAGACGAAAACATGTTTTGCATAAGTTTTTATTAGGTCATTATGATTATCGTATGACTCTTTATAATACGGTATTACACAGTATTATCTAGGTATTTTGTTCTCTTTACACAAGTTAAGTCATTCACAAATTGTTCGTGAAGAAATTTCAATCGTATTTTACTTGCCAATTTTTTTCTCGGAAACAATAAACCTAATGTATTAGTTTCGTGCGAAAATAACATAACTGTCCTTAATGTCATTAATTTTAAATATTTGAAAATTTGGTTCATCGTGACAGAAGTAGGATCCTATCAATATATTACCAATGTATATTAATGGACAATTTAAATAAAATAAGGACAATTATTTTCCTATCAATTTTATTTATATATAGAAATCTTAAACTGAACTGAATTCATACCGGAATTATTCGAGTATAATCGCATTTAAAGAATATTATAATTTCATTTATAATAGTATTTTAATATTTATCGATAAAAAAAAAATTGAAAACCTCACAAAACTAAATGCTGCAATACAACAAAATATTAAAGAAATATTACAACATTGTCCTTAATATCTTATATAAGAAATATTTAATCACTCTACTTCTGTAAATTACTCTTGTAAAATAACTTCCACTTCTCTAAAATATTCTTTAATATTCCATTTCTAACCATCCATTGCTAAAAGAATTTAATGAAATTTAAATAGGAATTCGGCAGAAACTCTCAGGTATTGGAAGAATGCACGAACACAATTGTTGATTATATTTTCTCCGATTACACAGAGTTATCATATTTTAAAAATTTTTTTCTGTCAACCTGTCTATTGTATGAAATTATTTGCGATTATAAATATATTGCGATACTCGCTATTATTGATTTTTATAAATAATTCTGTGACTACAGCAGACGATTTCAAATTACATACGTAAATGTAACGTAATGATACAAGTAATAATTTAAAATAATATATAGTATAGCTAGATAAAATAATTTAAAATATATAGTATAGCTAGTAAGAATCCAGTGCACAATAGAATACACTTGCTATTTGCATTTATGTAAAAATTTGTTTGTTTCACGTTTCTAAAAATGAGGTCACCGGGTGAAAACACGAATTCACATTCCAACTTATGCACTTTTTAATTTCTTTTAAAAATATACCACAGTGAAATTAATTCAAACTACCATGCTAACAAAATTAATACTATCGAGTAGTTCTGAATAATTAATAACTACATTACATAATAATTGAATTATTGAATAATAACCTACAATAACATAAAGATGATGATTAATCTAACAATTATAATGTAAATGTCAAATGCTAACGATCATGTGCAATTCAACAATTTAAATGTCTAATTAGCTATGCGAATTTATGAATATCTTCATTTAAGTTAAGATAACGATATAGATTTTCCTAGGTAAATGAAAATTCATGCTACTAGTCTAAGAAGTTTTGCTGAAACGAAAAGTTAATAGGTATATATTTCTATGCAATATGTATTAAGTAGCGTTTGGTGTCTCTTATATAGAGAGATATCATCCGATAAAATTATATTAACAGAGAAATATAAATTTATGTTGAAAGTAACAATTAATAAATGCTACCAAACATGTGCATGTATGTATCACGTACATGCAAAAAAATTCATAGCAAATCTCAAAAATTTTATACCACTTTCGTTATACCAATATTCATGTTTCTACAAAACTTGTAAATATAAAAAAAAAAACAGATATGTAGGAATCTACAAAGTCTTCAATCCTTATTTGTTACAATAAACAGAATTCTAATAACTGATATTGTATATTAATAATAATAATAATAATAACTATTATGAAATATAGGCTATCAATGTATGATATTTTCGTACAAAGTGAACCTGGTTTTAAGTCTTTAATTCCAACTATTGCGATTGAAATTCAAGGAATTGTATTTCACTTGTAAATTTACGCAAAAAGGAATTATACAAGTGTTATTGTTTATTTAAAATCTGAGAATTTGCTGGTCGAAATAGAAGTACGGGTGACTTATAGAAAACATAGAAGTCTTACGAAACACGAAACGTAAAAACTACTGGAGAAAAATATAATTCTTTTTCGACAGAACTACTACTACTAATACGACATTCCCGACACTGCCGATTTTATCAATTCAGAATAGAGTTGATCATGCAAATTGAATACCAAAATAACAGTTAAACTTGGAAACAAATGTAATAATTAAAAGAAAATTCGACAAAAATTATATGTTGGAAAATTAAAAATAAACTTCGAAAAATCGAACAGAATATGAATATATTCGTAATATCATTGATTAATAGGATAAACCTGAAAATAGGGTTTTGTGCCTTAGGGTCTGAAATACCGACTAGGAAAAAAATCACTGGCACCGTCTGTGGAATAATGTTACATCTACCTCGAAAATTATTGATTTAAACGTGAACGCATTTTTATTTGCATAGTTATTCTTAAAAAACGATCAACTTAATTTTTGACTGTAATGTAATTATTTTCTACATAAATTAGTATTATATGTCACAGACTTTTAAATTTAGTACATGTCAACAGAATTATAAGTTAAAAACTAACTGTTCAAACGTAGTTTGAAAAAAATATAGAATTAGTTAAAGTCGATAAAAAATTAATAAATTATTACATTT